TTAGGCTACATTTCCACTGACGCTAAGTTAGCACTTTGTAAGCGAAAACGGTTAAAGCCGAAAGTGGCGCTTTTAATGCATCGTCTGTCAGTATCTAATCTCCGTTATTTAAACTAGCAAAAAATGTGCCATTTCCTCGACATATTTCACTCTAATTCTTTATCATTAGTAACTACTTTAAGCAACTTTTACTCAATACGGTAAAAATGTCTTCAAATAAGTATATTATGCAAAACATTTAATATAGACTAGACATAGGGAACAAAATTTTTTTCATCGGTAACTTTTTTTAAAGGTACTATCTTAGTTGTCAAGTTTAGTACGCCACTTCATGGCCTTTGTATTGACATGTCATAAAACATTTTCAACATTATACTAATCACCATCTTTTATTATAAAATAAATTAAACTAAACAGTGTGAAACATATCTCAAGTTAAGTGTCTATGCTTTCTCTATGTATATTTTGAATGCCTTTGATATTATGTAAAAAAATTAACTCTAAAAAACACGAACTACATCCAAGATGTAAATCGTATGCAGACTAGGTATATTTTTCATTTAGTGAGCGTATCTGCACAGTCGGTGAGGATCGGAGTGGGTACCTTTGCGAGTGTCACTATCGTGGAAAAGGGTAACATCAAAGGGTGCGCAGCGCAGTCGAGTGTTCAAGCAGACGGAACTGAATGCGTTACATTCGCTCAATCGTCGAACAAATTTTCACAAAGGCATCGGATTAATTAAATTACACATCAAGACAAGATGTTGCAGATACGCTATTTGTCGTATATTGAATAAGGTTTCCACTAAGAAATTATATTCTAAGTAATGATTAAAATGTTATCTAAATAAGTTTTCTTCATTTGTGTAGATTGTGATGATTATTCAGATTTTTTATCGATATACATACAGATATATCTTTTGAATTAATTGTATAAATGGGTGAAAACATAGAACAAGAAGCACTTAAAATCTATGACTGGTCATGTTTTCTCTAGCTTGTATTCGAAGCCAGAGGCTAGATTTCCTTGAAGTTATTTTCATTTTAAAATAGTTTACTGGTAGTAAAAACATTCAATATGTTTACAACTGAGACTCATATTTAGTTAAAGCTACTACGGTGATTACATAGAAGAGTTAGACAAAGTTGAAAACAAGCTTCCGCGCTCAGTTATCGAGCAAATGCGGATATGCACTTTTCAAAGTTCCGACCATTATTTAAGTATGTGCCAGCTTCGAAGTATTTCGCTGTACTTTATATAAATGAAAAAGATAAACCGTAACTTCATTCTTTAATATATTCTTTATTTTTCAATACAAAGTGGTAAAACTTTTAAGGAAAGTTTCACGAGGGATGAAGTTTTTGCGAACTTTAATGCATGTGTATGAATATTTATTCTTATTGTATTCTTTAGCGCCGCATTATGTGTGGAGTTGGCAACTTTTTTTAATTCCAATTATACAATTTAGCGCTTGTTCGATTCCGATTGCGTAATTTATCGACTTGATTGTATAAGATTTTACCACCATCTTACTTAAATGTGATTTAAAGTTTTGTTACCATTCGATCTTTAACTTTGCCAACATAGAAATCAAATTTTCAAGTGATTACGACAGACAAATTCAGACAACCATGTACCGTAAATGACCACATATCTTGTTGCAATCTGCTTGGAAATAGTTGGTAGGCGTTTCAACTCAGGTGTTACCGTGATTATCATTCAACTCAGCAACACCAAGAGCGGAACAAGCCCTGCCATATGTGGTCATGAGAACTCCAGCTTGTACCTGTACTCGCCACGAAATGCGATCCGCGTGCAAAGAGATCGCGATATATTATTTTTTGTTAGTTTGCGCGCGTTGCCTTTTGTTTTCGATCCGATCGACCAAACAAGGACTGAAAGTGAATTATAAATTAACGAGATACAACCGACTGCGCACTTTATAAATTAAACGAACCCGTTCCCACACTTGAGGTTTTAATAGTATACTGTATTTAAGCTATCTTACTAATATTATAAATGCGAAAGTTTAGATGTATGGATGGATGGATGGATGTTTGATAGAGTTTGCAGCCTAAACGGCTGAACAGATCTCAATGAAATTTGGCATTGATGTAGAGGATAATCTGGATGAACACATAGGCTACACACTT